TGTTTGGCATTGGGTGCCGGGTTGGCAGGCGGTTGGCGGGTCTCGCGGTAAGATCGTGGCGTCGGCGCGGGTTTCGCGTCGCGTACAGGGACAGGCTATGTCGTGGCTCGTGCTTTTGGTCGGTCTCGTTGTCCTGGTGGGCGGGGCGGAGCTTCTGGTGCGGGGCGCGTCGGGGCTTGCGCTGCGGTTCGGGGTGTCGCCCCTGGTTGTGGGTCTGACGGTGGTGGCGTTCGGGACGAGCTCGCCCGAGGTGGCGGTGTCGCTCGACGCGGTGTTCACGGGCAAGCCTGATCTGGCGCTGGGCAACGCGGTGGGGAGCAACACGTTCAACGTGCTGTTCATCCTCGGGCTTTCGGCGCTGGTGCGTCCGCTCGTGGTGGACCAGAAGCTGGTGCGGATCGACGTGCCGGTCATGATCGGGGTGTCCCTGCTGCTCTGGGCGATGCTCGCGGACGGGGCGCTCGGGCGCGTCGACGGCGCGGTGCTGTTCGCGTGCATCCTCGTGTACGTGGCGATGGCGATCCGTGCGTCGCGTCGCGAGTCGAGATTTATTGAGGCCGAATACGAGCGTGCGGTTCCGGGGGCGGGTCGCGTGTCGCTCGTCGTGCCGGTCGCGCAGCTGCTCGTGGGGCTCGGCGCGGCGGTGCTGGGGGCGCGGCTGTTCGTACGCGGATCGGTCGAGATCGCGACGGCGCTCGGTGTGAGCGAGCTGGTGATCGGGCTGACGATCGTGAGCGCGGGGACGTCGCTGCCCGAGGTGGCGACGTCGCTCGTGGCCGCGGTGCGGGGTCAGCGGGACATCGCGGTGGGGAACGTGGTGGGGAGCAACATCTTCAACGTCCTGGGGATCCTCGGGCTCGCGGGGCTCTTCGCGCCGGACGGGCTCGCGGTTTCGCCGTCTCTGCTGGTGTTCGATGTGCCGGTGATGGTCGCAGTCTCGGTGGCGTGCCTGCCGGTTTTCTTTACAGGCCACGAGATCGCGCGGTGGGAGGGGGCGGTGCTGCTGGCGGGGTACGGGTGCTACGCGTCGTACCTCGTCCTGGATGCGAGCGGCCACGACGCGTTGGACGGGTTCGCGAGCGTGGTGCTCTTCTTCGCGCTGCCGCTCGCGGGCCTCGGGATCGCGGGGAGCGTCGCGGGCTCGCTCCGGGAGGGTCGGCGGGCGTCGGGCGCGTGACGTCAGCTCCGCGGGGGCGGGCTCTGGGTCTCGGGGATGAGGTAGTGGGCGCACCGGGCGATGTGGTAGATCACGCTGTCCGCCCAGCGGAGGAGCTCAACGGCGTGCTCGCCCTCGGTGACGCGGACGTCGCCCTCGGCGATGGCTTTGAGGAGTCGGACGCGACCGGCGCGGCGCATCTCGGCGAGGGCGCTGTTCGCCTGCGTCAGTCCCGCGGCGGCCTCGGCGGAGGCGTGCTCGCCGAGGCATTTGGAGGCGTTCGCGAGAGTGCTGGTGACGTGATCGACGAAGTCCTCGCCCATGAGCGCCTGGACGGACTCGTCGAGGTTGACGGGGTCGTCGCAGGTCTCGGCGAGCTGGTCGAGGTGGTCGATGGCGTGCTGGAGTCGGGCGGCGTCGCCGACGTCGGCGTCGGGCTGGGACTGCTTCGCGATGCGGGAGAGGAAGTGTCGGATGTCCGCGATGGCCTGGTGGACGTCCTTGATCGAGGCGGTCTGTCCGGTTCGCTTTCCGGGGTGTCCCCATTGGCGGAGGAGGACGTTGACGGCGGCGTTGAGGGTCGTTTCTGTCGCGGTGTGGGCGGCGTCGAGGGCGACGGGGCCGAGCTGGGCGACGGTTTTGTCGAGGTTGCGCGTGAGGGGGGAGCCGCGGTCGGGGAGGACGCGCTCGATGAGCCTGGCGAAGGGGCCGGCGACGGGGAGAAAGATGAGCACGCCGGCGACGTTGAACATGGTGTGGAACGCGGCGATGGAGGCGGCGCCGGGGTCCTCGCTGCCGGCCATGAGCGACGTGGCGAGGCGGGCGAAGAGGGGGAGCAGGGCGATCGCGACGGCGCCGGTGCCCAGGTTGAAGGCGATGTGCGCGAGGGCGGTGCGCTTGGCGGGGGTGGAGGCGCCGATGGCGGCGATGGCGGCGGTGACCGTGGTGCCGATGTTCTGGCCGACGACGAGGGCGGCGGCCTGGTCGAAGCCGATCGCGCCGGAATCGACGGCGATGAGCGTCGCGGCGACGGCGGCGGAGGAGGACTGCATGACGACGGTCATCACGACGCCGATGAGCACGAGGAGGAAGCGTCCGCCCAGGCCCTCGCTCGGGATGGAAGCGGGGTCGATCTTCGTGGCGAGGTCTTCCATGCCGGATTGCATGACGCCGATGCCGTAGAAGATGAGCGCGAAGCCCGCGAGGGCACCGCCCAGCGCGGCGAATCGGTCGCGGCTGAAGAGGCGGAGCATGACGCCGATGAGGATGAGCGGGGGCGAGACGGCGCCGAGGGAGATCTTGAGGCCGAGGAGGGAGACGATCCAGCCGGTGGAGGTGGTCCCGATGTTGGCGCCGAAGACGACGCCGACGGCCTGCTGGAAGGTGATGAGTCCGGCGGAGACGAAGCCGATGGTGGTGAGCGTGGTGGCGCTGGAGGATTGGATGAGGGCTGTGAAGATCGCGCCGGTGGTGAGACCGGAGAGGGGCCCTCGGACGAAGCGGGCGAGGAGCTGCTTCATCGCGTTGCCGGCGAGCTGCTTGAGCCCGTCGGTGAGGAGCATCATTCCCAGGAGGAAGAGGCCGAGGCCTCCCATGGTTTCGTAGATCACGCCGTTCGTCTCGCGCTGTGGCTCGTCATGGTGGTGAGCTTAGCCGCCGATCGAATCGGGCGACCAGGTGAGCGGGGCATCGACGCCGATGGGCAGGCCGAGGAGGATCCAGGCGACGAACATGGTTGTCCAGACGATGAAGAAGGCGATGAAGTAGGGGAGCATGAGGGCGATGAGCGTGCCGATGCCGGCCTTTCTGACGTACTGCTGCATGAAGACGAGGACGACGACGACGTAGGGGTTGAGGGGTGAGATGGAGTTGGAGGTGGAGTCGCCGATGCGGTAGGCGACCTGGGTCATCTCGGGGCTGATGCCGACGGTCATGAGCATGGGGACGAAGACGGTGGCGAGCATGGCCTACTTGGCGGACATCGAGCCGACGAACATGTTGATGAAGGAGACGACGACGATGAAGCCGATCATGAGGGCCCAGGTCGGGAGGCCGGCGGAGCGGAGGACGTTGCCGCCCTCGATGGCGAGCATGGCGCCGAGGCCGGAGTGGTCGAAGCTCTCGACGAAGATGGCGGCGAAGAAGGCGAGGACGATGTAGGACGCGAGCAGGGCCATGTACTCGCTCATCATCTTGATCACGTCGCGGTCGGAGCGGATGGTGCCGACGATGAGGCCGTAGACGAGTCCCGGGACGAAGAAGAGGATCACGAGGAGTGGAACGATGGCGCCGATCCAGGTGGCGAAGGGGCGCTGTCCGGGGCCGGTGCCGATGGACTCGGGGTCGTCGTAAAGGAAGCCCCACTTGAAGTAGACGTTGGCGACAAGGAAGCCGATGGTGAGGATGGACACGAGCGTGGCGGCGATGAGTCCCTTCGCCTCGTCGCGTGTGATTTTGAGATCCATCGCGTCGCCTTCGCCGCCGGGGCCGCCCTCTTCCGGCGATTTGTTCTTCAGACGCGGCTCGACGAACCACGCGGAGACGGCCCAGCCGACACCCGTGATGAGGAAGGTCGAGGCGATCATGAAGTAGAGGTTGCACGCGGGGTTGACGTTGTAGGACGGGTCGAGGATGCGCGCGGCCTCTTCGGTCAGGCCCGCGAGGAGCGGGTCGAGGCCGGTGACAAGGAGGTTGGCGTTGAAGCCCGCGGCGACGCCGCCGAAGACCGCGGCGAGGCCGACGAGTGGGGAGCGTCCGAGCGCCTTGTAGATCGCGGCGGCGAGGGGCGGGAGGACGATGTAGCCGGCATCCACGGCCATGGAGGACATCACGCCGGCGAAGAAGGTCGCGGGGGTGATGAGCGAGCGGGGGACGATCAGGAGGATCATCTTGAGGGCCGCGGCGATGAGGCCGGATTTCTCGGCGACCGAGATGCCGATGGCGGCGACGAGGACGAGTCCGAGGGGTCGGAAGTCCATGAACATGTCGATGAGGTTCTCGATGAGCCAGCGGAAGCCGTCCGCGGAGATCAGGTTGGTCGCGTCAGCGGAGAGGACTTCCTCGCCCTCGGAGTTGAGCAGGACGCTGTGCCACTCGTTGGCGCTGGCGAGCCAGGAGACGCCGAAGACGGCGACGCAGCCGATGATGAAGAGGGTGGCGGGGTCGGGCAGGGCGTTGCCGATGCGCTCGATGGCGTTGAGGAGGCCGCGTTGTTTGGGCTGATCGGGGGCTTGGGTGGTTGGCATGTGGCAGATTGTGGCGAGTTGGATGTGGGGTGCAACCCGAGCGGTGCGGTATGGTGGGCAGGGTTATGGAGATCTACCGCAACGGCCCCGAGACTGAACGGCTCCTGCACCGCGCGTTCACGGCGGAGGACGCACCCGCGTTCTTCGCGCTAAACGGCGATCCGGATGTCATGCGGCACACCGGCGAGCCGGCGCTCGGTTCTGTCGATGAGGCGCGGAGGGTGATCGAGGGCTACCCGGATTTCGAGACCGTCGGGTACGGGCGTTGGGCGTGCGTGCTTCGGGACACCGGGGAGGTGATCGGCTTCTGCGGCATGAAATATCTCGCCGATCTTGACGTCGTTGATATCGGCTACCGGTTGCTGCCGCGGTATTGGGGACGGGGGCTGGCGACCGAGGCGTGCGGGGCGTGCCTCGGCTTCGGGTTCGAGACGATGCAGCTCGACACGATCGTGGCGTACGTGCTGCCGGAGAATGCGGCGTCGGTGAACGTGCTGCGCAAGGTGGGCATGCGGCTCGATGGAACCGTTCGTTATGACGGGCTGGACGTGTTGCGGTATTCGATCGAGCGGCCGGATCGATGCTGAACGAGTCTCTGCTTAGATGTCCGCTCTGGCCTCGTACTCCGGCACGTCCACACGCCAGCCGAGCTGTTCCTCGACGTGTTTCTTCAGGCTCATCGCCGCTTCCTCTTCGCCGTGGGTGAGGAAGAGCTTGTCGGGCGGCTCTTTGAAGTGGCGGAGCCAGCTCATAAGCCCGGTGCGGTCGGCGTGCGCGGAGAGGCCGTGGAGCTCGCGGATCTTCGCGTTGACGTTGTACTCGCGTCCGTGGATGCGGACGGTCGGGTCGCCCTGCACGATGCGTCGCCCGAGCGTGCCGCGGGCCTGGTAGCCGACGAAGAGGACGGTCGATTCGTCGTGGATGATGTTGTTTCGGAGGTGGTGCTTGATGCGGCCGCCGGTGCACATGCCGGATCCGGCGAGGATGACGCACGACCCGCGGATGGCGTTGATGGCTTTGGATTCGTCGGCGGACTTCACGAAGTGGAGGCCGGGGAACTGGAAGGGGTGGCGTCCCTGCTCGAAGAGGGCGCGGGCTTCCTCGTTGAAGAGGTGCGGGTGCTTCTGGTAGATGTTCGTCGCGTCGATGGCCATGGGGCTGTCGATGAAGACGGTGAGGCGGGGGATCTTCTCGTCGCGGACGAGCTCGCTGAAGAGGTACATCAGCTCCTGGGCGCGATCGATGGCGAATGTGGGGATGACGACGTTGCCCTTGCGCTCGACCGTGTCGTTCACGATCTTTGCGAGTTCGTTCATGACGTCCGGGGCGCGGTGGTGGTCGCGGTCGCCGTAGGTGGACTCCATGGTGATGCAGTCGGCGCGGTTGATCGGGTGCGGGTCGCGCATGAGGGGGTGGTCGTCGTGGCCGAGGTCGCCCGAGAAGACGATGCGGCTGGTCCGCGGGCCATCGGAGACGAACAGCTCGATGAGGGCGGAGCCGAGGATGTGGCCGGCGTCGTGGTAGCGAGCCTCGATGCCGTGGCCCAGCGAGATGGGGGTGTCGTATTCGACGGGCTGGAAGAGCTTGAGCGCCGCCTGGGCATCGGCGGGTGTATAGAGGGGGATCTCGGGGTGCGGCCCCTTGCGTTTCTCGCGTTCGTGCCGCCGTTTCTTGTACGAGGCGTCCTCGACGTGGATTTGCGCGGAGTCTTCGAGGACGATCGTCGCGAGGTCGATGGTTGCGGGGGTGGCGAGGATCGGTCCGCTGTATCCCTCGGCGACGAAGCGGGGGATGAGGCCGCAGTGGTCGAGGTGGGCGTGGGTGAGCAGGAGTGCGTCCACCTCCCCCGGCGGGACGGGGGAGGGGTCCCAGTTGCGCGAGAGGTGCTCGCGCTCCTGGAACATCCCGCAGTCGATCATAATCGTGCGATCTGCGGCGCGGAGGACGTAGCGTGAGCCGGTGACCTGACGGTTTGCGCCGAGGAACTGGAGTTGCATGGGCGTATGTTCACAAATCGCCTCGGCGTGTGCGCCAGAGGCCGAGATTTCGAGAGGCCGGGTTGTTTTTTCGTCCGTTGAAGCGGAGACGCCGGACACAGTTAGGCTCTCTGGTTTTTGTGACGGAGCGATGAGGTTTGAACTACGCCAATCTTTGCGCGACGAGCTCCCCGGGATCGGGAACCGATTGAAATCTATTCTGTAATATTCAGACTTCACCGCCATTCTTCCGGAGGTCACACGATGGCTGATGAAACGACGTACCGTGTCGAGTCCGATCTTCTTGGGGAGAAGCAGGTCCCCGCCGACGCCTACTACGGCGTCCAGACGGCACGGGGGATGGAGAATTTTCATATCACCGGCGTGCCGATCTGCCAGTACCCGTCGCTCATCCGGGCGCTGGCGATGGTGAAGCTCGCGGCGGCGCGGGCGAACCACGCGGTGGGGAAGCTGGACGAGGCGATCCTGCGCGGGATCGAGGGGGCGTGCCAGGAGCTGATCGACGGGAAGCTGCACGATCAGTTCGCGATCGACTGCGTTCAGGGCGGGGCGGGCACATCGACGAACATGAACGCGAACGAGGTGATCGCGAACCGGGCGCTGGAGCTGATGGGGCACGCGAAGGGGGAGTACTCGCACTGCCACCCGAACGACCACGTGAACCTCTCGCAGTCGACGAACGACGCGTACCCGACGGCGCTGCACCTCGCGGTGGCGATGGAGAACCGGCAGCTCGTCGGGACGCTCCGCTCGCTCGTGGACGCGTTCCGGAGCAAAGGCAACGAGTTCCTGACCGTCGTCAAGATGGGGCGGACGCAGCTGCAGGACGCGGTGCCGATGACGCTCGG